AAAGAAAGAAAGAAAGAAAGAAAGAAAGAAAGAAAGAAAGAAAGAAACAAGGAAAGAAAGGGAAAATATTTAGGTTAGGTGCTACAGCACTGAGCCCCTCCCACATCATTGTAAAGGTGAACAAGTGATCCGGTATGTATCATGCACTGAAATAAAAGTTTCTAAAACCCTGCTTCTATTTCAAAGACACAGAATTTGCTTGCTCATCATTAAAAATCAATTTTTAGTCTTACAGGAATAAAGAAACACGAATGTGGTTATTTTATGAGCGAAGACCTGATTATCTCATGCTGTGAGTGTGATTCCTCAATGGTCAGAAGGGGAGCTCTGGAGAGATCTACTTTTCTTGGGCAAGTGTACACTTGCCTCAGTCTCACTCATAAACCAGGAAACAGTCACATGCACTGAGCCTTAAATGTGTTCATTTCAAACCAGGCAGGAGGCCTGACACACATACTAAATTTTCAGTATTAGCATCTCCAAATCTTTATCATCATATACGCAGATTGATTCATTTTCAGAGTCTGGTAACTGGTTCAATGTTATATCATTTTAAAGATTTTGTTGAATACCTTATTCTCTCATTTTCTTGTTGAGACTACAACTTTAGTTAGTTTTAGTCCCTTCCATAAAAGAAAAATGTAAGTTTTACATTTTGTGTCACAGGTTCATTTTTTTCCCCCCTGAAAATAGACATTTTCCTTATTTCTGAGACTCATCCAAGATATAGGCAGTATTTCTTCCACGAAAGAAGAAAAAGGCAGCAAACTGATTACTTGTTGCGATCAAGCTTATTATAACAGAGACAGAAAACCAGAATGCACTTCCTAGATCTGTCATTAGGTGAATAAAAGGGGAGGATTTCTTTTTCTTGTCTTATTTTCCTCATTTGTGAAGTGACACCTTCTGATCTTCATAGCACTCTTGACACAGTAAAGCAAGGAAGTCAGGATTTCCAAATTCCTTGTGATGAGGAGCAGTGACTGACTTTCCTTGTGCTGTGACTGCAGCTTCAGGTGGGACACGTGCTCAAATAAATGACCATGGTGGAGCTAGTTTCTGATGCAGGTGATAAGAGGACAGATTGGTGGCCAGGTCTGATGGCATAAGTTGTTGCTTGAACTAAATGTTAATCAAAATAAAGCTTGATGGCTAATGATGCATTATGATCAATCTTGAGAGTAAATGATTGTTGATGACTTAGAACTTTTTATAGAAAGTACTACCTACACTGACATTCACTTTATAGCTCAACTTCTTCAACTCTAAGTAAAATTAGAGACCCTTTTATCTTCTATTTAAATCCATCCCCTTCCTTAAGATGGCATGAGCATTGGTATAATGAAGCATAGAAAGTACATTTGTTATGTGAAAGGTACTAAAATTCCTGATGTAGCATGCATTCTGATAAAATTACACAGATATTAAATTTTCACTCACAAATTTGTCTATCTGCCACCTACACTTACCATGACCTCAAAACCCTGCCATCAATTTCGTTTTCTTTTTAGACTACTTCCAAAGAGTTAATAGGAAAAAAAAAAAAACAGTTTTAGAGCTCAGAATTACTGGATAATGTTTCTTTATCTGGAAAAGAAAAAGCACTTCCATTCAGGGCTCACCTCAAATTTTTATTTTTCTGGTCTTCAAAATACCACATGTCATTTTCTCACTGTACCACTATTCTGTGTCACCCATGAGGACATCAAACCATGTGCCAATATGAACTTACCCTTATCCAGTCGGCTCAATAGGATGATGCCCTTCACCATTCAAATTAAATCTGAACCCTGTGTCACTGCTCCTAAGCTGCTATTCATCAATTTTTTCATGTTGTCATGTAGCCATGCTGTGGCTTTTGCTAATGTCCTTATCTCTATCATTAATTTTACCTTCTGATGTAGTAGTACCGGGTGATATGATTTACAACTTAATAAAATGAGTTTTTAAAACATTAGATAAACTAGTAAATCAATTTTTATAAGAGTCAGCAGTCTAGAGTTTTGAAGGTAGACTTAATTTACCTCCTTTGCCTGATTTCATCTCAGGTGAACTGAACGGCATAAAACAATACAGTAAACAATGCAGTCATGCATAATACATAGCAGTTGAATTCAATTTTAGTG